TTGCTGAGGCATTAAATTGCACGATGTGGCTTTGCTGCAGTTTCATAATTAGCAGCACATGTTTCTAATTTCAAGCCACTCAGAGGCACTACTGACCCAAGTCCTCCTCCTTTTCTGCTCTTTCAGGGTGAAAATGTGTGTGTTCAACTTATTCTCACCGTATTCTCCAAAATCCCCCCAAAGCAGCTCTGTTCTGTCCCAAATAAAAACCAGACAGCTTTATTCTGACATCCGCTGGGTTAGGAAAGGCTTCCTTCACAGTCCGAGGGTCTTATTGCCTTCAGTGATGCATCACAGCCTCCTAATGATGGAGCTGCAGTAATAGAGCCACTAATGACCGGACTTAAGAAAGAACATATTCTAATAGATGAAGCAGAACAAGAGGAAGAGTCGAGCTGACAGACAGGAGAGACCAAATCCTTCAACGACGTGTTTCACTTGTGACTTAAATACGAAAGAAAAAATAATACATCTGCAGAATTTTGGGGTGAAGTTTGCGACGCAACGTCACGATTTTAAAATACTGATAAAATTGAAAAAAAAAGTCATTAATTTCTTATAATAGGCTATGTGGAAGGGTTTGTTTATTTATTTATTTGTTTGATTATTTATTTACTGAAGTGCTACACCAGTTGAAGCTTACCTCCCCGTCTGCCTTTCCATTTCCAACTGTGATTTTTGTTTGTTTGATAGCAAAATGCAAATAATGGGGGCAGCAGTAGCTCAACAGGTGGAGCGGGTTGTCCAGTAATCGGAAGGTTGCAGGTTCGATCCCGGCTCCGGACAGAGAATTCTGCTGTTGTGTCCTTGGGCAAGACACTTAACCCACCTTGCCTGCTGGTGGTGGTCAGAGGGACCGGTGGCGCCTGTGCTTGGCAGCCTCGCCTCTGTCAGTGCGCCCCAGGGCAGCTGTGGCTACATCGTAGCTCATCACCTCCAGTGTGTGAATGTGTGTGTGAATGGATGAATGATACACTGTAGTGTAAAGCGCTTTGGAGTCCTTACTCTGAGAGGCGCTATACAAGTGCGGGTCATTTATCATAAATCCTGCTTTAGCTGACTTATAAAGCCTTCACTAGATAATTTGCATTAATGATAAAATTTTTGTACCTCGCAGCAAAAGCAGAAGTATCAGTTCTGTCATGGTGGTGTAAAACACAGCGTGATGAAAACAGAACAGGCTAGTGATGACCTGGAATCAGGCTTTTATCAGAGCCCTACTGCACCACCTCCGGAGATCTTCCCAGCCAATAAGCTGTCACAAGACACTTTAGTACAGGTTTGTTTTGCTCCTGGCTCTTAACCCGCATTCCCAAAACATCCAGTTAAAAACAAAAACCATAAAATTCTCTCAAATTGCATTTTGTTGACATTGATATGTGGTGATGGCAGAAATGCCAGTAAATGTTAATTTGGATACTTTCAAAAATAGAAATCTTAAAGTGACGCAGATCCAGTTGACTTTCAGTGGACCTTCTCGTGTGTTTTTATCCTAATAATCATGTTTTGGTATTCCAGAAGCTTTAGGTTGATGATTTGTTTGATACTTCGATAACCTTGAAGGCTTTTGGATCATTCTATGTGTAAAAATAATAAAGTTCATTCCAAATCTGATCATTTCAACCACTATAATCAATTAACCATCCCAGTATCATAAAGCTTGTGTTCATCAGCAGAAAAGTTTTAATGCATCAAACAAAATATGAATTTCTTCATGAATTGGACCCTATACATTTATTTCTAAGGCCTATAAACACAAATAAGGTTGTTCTTTGCCTTGCTGACGTTTGTTTGCGTTTATCCACGGGCATAGGGAGCAGGAAGTGACGCCACCATCAGCGTCAGCTCTGAAGATCTTTGCAGCCGCAAACGAAACGTCAGCAAGGCAAAGAACAACCTTATTTGTGTTTAAAAAAGAACCAAAAATGGAATTTGAAGACAAACACAGGAAGAACGTACAACAGATGCCTATAAATAAACCTTCAGGAGCCAGAGGATGGCACAGCCATGGAGTGTTTGTGCATTAATGACGTGTTTGTCTTTGCATAAATTAAACCAATAAGGTTGTTGATAGACTCCCTCTAACTTAGCTCTGCAGGCGCTTCTCACTTGAACCCGAAGCTCTTCACTGAGGTTCTTTTATTACAGGTGATGCTAAACATAGCGCACCTGCGCGTGCACGGGGTCAAATATTAACAGCAATAATGAGATGCTTTGAAAGCTGCAGAGACAATATGTAAATTACTCTCTCTCTCTCTCTCTCTCTCTCTCTCTCTCTCCCTCTCTAAAATAAACTCCTGACGTCACCACACCGCCTTCTCCGTGACACGCGCTTCTTCTGACTCATTAAAGAAATGGCTCTTCTTTGCTGATTATTTTATTTGACGCCGTGATTACCACCCTGTGCTCCGCATCAAGCAGCAGCGGACACCATGCGGAGGGCAGCGGGCCTAATTGGGGCATAAGATGCGCGGAGAGGTGCAGGCAGGCTGGGTGGCCGAACAGGAAAACCTCTTAAGGGTTTTTCTTGGGGGGGGGGGGGGGGGGGGGGGGGGTCTCTGCAGCTCGGACGCATCGCTGTTAATAGTCTGCTTTCTTATTCCTCTGACTGCCAAATCACCTGCACACACACACACACACACACACACACACACACACACACACACACACACACACACACACACACACACACACACACACACACACAGAACAACACTGTGATTTGCTCCACGGCTGTTCCTGCAGACCGAAAATCGATTTTCCTTTAAGATTTGTAGAACTGAGTGAATGCAGCTACCTGCGAGGCGACGCATTAGGCCCGAGCATAAAAAAAGAACGGGGGTGGACTCGCCTCGCCTCCTGCAGTGCGCAAGCTGCAGGCTTGTTGTGCGTAAGCGCTCCTGCTTCTGGGTAACGTGTTGTGCACAGGCCCAGATGAGCAATGGATTTAACGCAGCTTGATTGCTAAAAACCGCGGAGACGGAAGACACGGAATTCTTGATCTTTGAAATGACTTTACAAAATTGCATTTGTTTTTTGGTGCGCTTCCATTAAAAGTGTCTCCTGGCGTGTAAACAGCCGTTCCGCACTCAGATGCGCCGCATTAACCCGGGAGGATCGTATGGGAGCGTGTTTTTACTGGGGGGGGGGGGGGGGGGGGGGGGGGGGATTGATGTGGTCCAGTTAGGGAGGCTGAGTGAGACATAGAGTCGCTTCATATAGGTTTGCGCTTATTATAGCGATAAGTCACACACACACACACACACACACACACACACACACACACACACACACACACACACACACACACACACACACACACACACACACACACACACACACACACACACACACACACACACACACACACACACACGGACGGACGGAAATAAGTAAGCTTTCTTGGGTTTTATTTTATTTTCAGCATGAAATCTCTGAAGCAACACTAATCATAACTTGTCTTATTGTTTTAGAACTGCTGAGCAAATGTTTTTGTCACCATCTTATTTAGATTTTATCAAGAAAAATAGATGCAGTTTGATCATAACGATCAATAAGTTGAGTTATTTGGGGTTAAACACATCACAATTATTGCTCTGTAAAATATTTTCTGTTCAACTCAGACCTGGCTTTATTTAAAAAATGTATTTACTTTACAAATATTGCTTTTCAGCCTTTGATAAACTGTTTTACCATCCTTCAAATTAACCCACTCTGATTGGAATACAGTTAGAAATCGTTTATTTTCACCCCTTCTTCACTGCAACATCAGATGTTGTGATCCTGGAAATCAAACGTCTTCTAAAGCATCCCCGGCTGCGCCTCGGGCCTTTAACCAACGTTGGCATGGGCCGACAACTCCCAGCAGAAAGACATCCCCTCTTCTCGGTCCTCTCTCCTCAAACACGTCTGAATCGAAAGAACCGAGCCTCTGCTGGTGATTGCTTCTCCCGCATACCTTCCGGGATCTGCTTGCAGCTTTTCTCCATCTCAGTGGACCACGCACCGGCCCGTTTCCTTAAGTTTTCACGCTGTGCCACACACAGGCCACCTCTCTGCGTCCCAGTAGATTACTGTCGAGGAGCACAAAAGATGAGCCGCCTCCATGTGGTGCTGAAGAGGAGAGACGGGTCCTCGCTCGGACGCCTCCATTGTGCGGCTGCAGAGAAACCTATTTAGTCCCGGGGGGTGGTCTATTCACCAGGGTTACCCTGACATCTGCCAGCAGCTAACCAGCGCTGTCTGCAGCAGGAGTGGAGCGCAGATCAATGACTGTCCTGTTAATTATATAATAGACCTACTTATGGACCTCTGCTAAAGGGGCACAGGCGTTCAGGGTCCACCACGTCTGATTTTGTTTGAGCCAAACAAGCCTAAATACCTTTAATTGCACCCGAGTTGATGAAAAGTCGATGGGAGTTAAAGCGGCCGATCACTAGCGGAGTTTAAATCCATCTGTTCTCCTTTATTTATTTATTTCCTCCATTTGTCTGCACAAATCGCCTGCCACGGGGAAGCGGAGGCTGTATTTGTTTTGTTTGTGGTCCATACACGGGAGGGGAGGCTGGATGGAGGTCCGGTCCACAAAAGGACTTTTTTGTTTTCCTTTCATAACGAAAAAGAGACAATTGACCATTTTCTTCCTCTTGAGTTTAAAAAAAAGACACATATGTTAACTTTATTAATTTAGTTTTCGTTTGTGGAAGAGTGGTTTTCAAAAATACTAAATTTGTGTTTTTGCACATTTGGGTTTTATTTTGTTTCTTGGCGCAATTTATGGACCAAATTGCGCACAAGCACACCAAGGCGCGGAGTTTTGACCTTCAGAAGATATATTTACACGTTTACCTAAAAAATCATGATTTTTTTAATTACATGAGATTAAACAAACACATTAAGATGTTAAACGTGGAATAATTTCAGCACGAAAAGCTAATAAATCAGAGGATGGAATGGCACAAGATTTAATTGTGGTGTTTCATGGGTCTGCGCGCGCATCCTGACGCGCGTGCAGGTGTGTTTAAAAAAAGGGGGAGGAGGGGGAGTCATGTTGCTGACATTTCCGGGCGCGTGCTCTGATTGGCTCCTAAGCTCACGGGTTCTTTCAACTAATAAGCGCCTCCCCGTCGCTCTAAAGGACATTATAATGCAAGGGACCTCCTTTTTTAACCACAAACCGAATTTTCGTTCATTTAGACCATATATACTTTTTAAATTGCCCTAAAGTTGCAGGGTTTTTTTGGGAGGCATTTCGCCCTGGAGCGGTACGCCATGCTCTCTCATGCCGACCTCCTGGATGCTCGGCTCGGTGAGTTATCATCACTAAACTCCGGCCCTAAACTCCAGTGTAAGATTCCAACTTCTTGTTTAATCTTCTGAAGCTAGGAAGTGAAGTTAATTGTGTTAAGTAATTTATCGCTGGTCGAAGTAATCATTTTTGGCAATTTATTAGCAGCCTTATCCGCGGAAGAAATGCGTCAATTTGCCAATATCTGCAGTTTATCTCTAAACAAAGATGAAAGAGTATTACGTGTTGTTTTCATTGAAAATGCTGAGTTGAAGTTTGTTATATCAAGGCTCAAAATGTTCCTCCTTGTCCTCTCAGGGATGAAGGATGCTGCAGAGCTGCTCGGACACAGAGAAGCTCTCAAGTGCCGGCTGGGAGGTGGAGTTCCGGACCAGGGGCATCCAGGAGACATGGCCCCTGGTTCGGACACCGTGGAGGGAACCACCCTTTTGCCCAGCGAAGACATCACCACTGTGGGATCCAACTCCGCCGGCATGCCGGTGAACGGGAAGGAGCAGGAGAAGCAGCAGCAGCAACCGCAGCAGAACTCCAGTCAGTCCGCCAGCCAGCAGAAACAGAAGCGGCACCGGACGCGCTTCACTCCGGCTCAGCTGAACGAGCTGGAGCGCAGCTTCGCCAAAACCCACTACCCCGACATCTTCATGAGGGAGGAACTGGCGCTGAGGATCGGCCTCACCGAGTCTAGAGTCCAGGTAAGCACCCGAACATGGATGGTGCTTTGAGTCTGGATTTGATGTCTAAAACACGCCAAGAAGACACGCGCTACATACAGAAACGTGTTTTTTTTAGTTTAGCACAATTTCCTCACAGCTATTTGTCATAATATCTTAATTTATGAAATAATAATAATAATAATAATGGTACAATTTACAAAATATTATCGCGCGCGCTGATTCCACCGATTATCCAACCCTGATGTATTTGTCGTTTCAGACTCTAAACTGGAATTATTTTTCCTTCAATTAAATGATTAAAAAATAACGAAATTAAAGTGAAAATAAACAAAATCAAATTCAAACGTATTCAGTGGCTCTGTCCGTGGTGCTGAATTACAGGCTTCACGCTTTTCTCTGTGGTTTACTTAACTGTACTTGTGTTAGTTGCTCTTCTTTTTTAGAATAAACTATTTTGTGTTGCAACATTATCATAACTTCATAAATTAAATACGTTTCTCTTTTTTTATTTCAAACAATATAGATTATTTCCTGTCCGAACATCCCTGTTTTGTTAGACATTTCTGAAATTGATCAATACATTTTTCAATAAATAGAAACATCAATGAAAACGTTTCTCTAAAATTACAAGTTCATAAAAATTAACCATTTCCCTCAAACCATAATGCATACTGTAACGTATTTCTTCAAGGATTTTAGGAACCAAACACATTGTGAACCAATCTCAGCCTTATTTATAACACTGAACGGGTTATTAAACAGTGATGTGAAATTCATGTAAATTATCCCTCTGAAAGCAATAAAAGCAGAACAATCATTAGTCACCTTAATAATCAATTCTGCATATTCCAAGAATCCCGCCCGCTGCTGTTGGTAAACATGCGTGCAGGTGGGCGTGCGGGTTGTTCACGCCTCTGCAGCCGCTCCTTTAAAATGCTCCATCAGCGACGTCTTAATAGGACTCAAGAATATATTGTACTTTTTTTTAATGGAATGAGAAATTGCATTTTCTTTACCCCTCGTGCGTAATGGGTTTGGGCGACGTTTCACGGCTGGCTGAGCGGAATGAGAGCGAGATTTCACTTTTTAATATGGTGGCATCGACTCGCGGCCTCACGCGCGCATTAATCACAACCTTGAAGATGATGAAATCTTTAGAAAGCCGAAAGGCGCTGCGCGTGCGTTTCTGAAACGCATTGTTGGTGTGTGTGCGCGTTTCTCTCTTTAGCTCAATGGAGGCGAGTTTAATTTTCGTCACAACTGTCTGAAGAAACGTGGGATGTGTGTTTGAACTACAGCATTTATTCAGTAAAACCTTTAGAAATATTAAATTACATAAAAGCGTTGATGTAAAAAAGGCACATTAAGATCAGAAGCCATCTTTTATTAGTAATACAACATTTACAAGATATGCGGGTTTGAAATTCTGCTGATTAATGAAACAGAGTGATTTCGCTGTTTACTTCCTGTTTATTTTTAAATTAGCATTAATGCTTTCATTTTTACCAGCATGTAAACATATTTTATTTACTAAACTATTATTTTGTTTTGCGGCCAATGTTAGGACAGAACTTCCTTTTTGCTAGCTGTCATAGTTTTTTTTCTCCGTGCCTTCGGTCACGTGCGTCCTGTCCCGTTGCTTCCAGGTTTGGTTCCAGAACAGACGCGCCAAGTGGAAGAAACGGAAGAAGACCACCAACGTTTTCCGCGCCCCGGGGACGCTGCTCCCCACGCCGGGCCTTCCACAGTTCTCTGCCGCGGCCGCCATGGAGAACAGCCTGTGCTCGTTCCACGCCAACGACTCGCGCTGGGCCACGGGGATGCCCGGGGTCTCCCAGCTGCAGCTCCCGCCGGCCCTGGGTCGCCAGCCGGGCATGGCGCAGTCTCTGTCACAGTGCAGCCTGGGCCCAGGCCCTCCGCCGAACTCCATGGGTCTTTCCAACGGCCTGTCCTCCAACGGCTCCGGTCTGCAGTCCCACCTCTACCAGACGCCTTTCCCCGGAATGTCGGCGTCTCTCTCCGGCCCCACGAACGTACCGGGCTCCCCGCAGCTTTGTAGCTCCCCGGACAGTGACATGTGGAGAGGGACAAGCATCGCCTCACTGAGGCGCAAAGCGCTGGAGCACACAGTGTCCATGAGTTTCACTTAGTGACTTCTCACCCTACCGCACCGCATCCCGCTCCTCTCAGCGCCTCCCTGCGGCTTCTTTTTCTGTTTTACTCAGTTTAGATCCAGACCAGAGAAAGAAATGCGAAATGCGAGAGAATGGAACTGAACGTGACCAGAAAATAAAAGGACAGAACAATCGGACACGATGAAGGTGGAAAAACGATTTTTTTTGGTTGTTTATCTTGTTTCAAATGGATTTGAGCAACAACTGATGATGAATACTGTAACGATCTCTAGATTCTAGGTCCTGACTACTGAGAGCCAAACAATCGTTGTATCTATGTTTGATGAACGTGTCTTTACGCACACGTTGTTGTATTTGGGTGACGTTGTGTTATGTTAAACGGATATTTATATGGTTGGAGTTTGGTACGAGTCCGCCCCCCCCATTCACCCACCCACACACACACGCACACACGCACGCGCGCGCACTTTTCACACTGATGGAGACTTTACCGGGTCTGAGGCGCGCGCTGTGTGGATTTAGGCTTATAATTAAAAGGAGAGCGATGCCCATTCAGAGTTCCTTTAATAATAATAATAATAATAATAATAATAATCCGAGTCTCACCTGGAGGTGGGACAAACATAGACAAAGGGAAAACCCGGTCTCTCGGTCTGTTTTAGGATGTTTTGTGTAGATGAAACATTCTTGCTGTACACGCTGGTCTTATTTGTGACATGTTTAACTTACTGTATGTGATTTTACTTGAGTCATTTCTTAAATGTTTGATCTCACACCGAAACGCGCCACGCAGACGGCTTTGTACCGATTTCAAACGAACACACAAATAAAAGTACTTTTCAAGAATGTCAAAACAGCGCTGACTTATTTAATATTCACTCCGGATTATCCTGCAGAGACAGCATTTTTGTGTCAGCTTCTACAGATCATACTGAGATGTAGTGGTTTAGTGTCGCTGCTCCTGCAGAGACGTTTGTGACCGTTTCAGTCAGAAAACACAGTTAAAGCTTTCGGGAGGCTGCTGGGCGGCAGCGGTAACGACGTGACGTCATCGTGTTTAACCATGACGGTCATCAGGCACGGACGCACTACGCACCTTCCTTAACCCTTTGATGCATAATGCTCACTACAGTGGACAGGTACTCAAAATTGTTATTTATTTATTTTTGCTATTAAGCACAGCTGTTGAAGACTTTATTGCATGTGAGCCTCTCCAGTTGGACTTCAGCAAGTCAAGCCAACACATTTCATGTTCAGAATGCACGCTGTCCACTGAGCTGGGCATGTAATAAAGTATTTGTAAATTAACAAAATGGTGCAAAAAATATTGGTTGAAATTTGTTTCATTCACACCTAAAGATGAATGAAAAAAATTGTTTAAAAAATCTTGGTTGAAGATTTCATAATTCATGCATCAGAGGGCTAAATACCTCTGTGCTCCGGAGAGGCTAACATTTGGGATTAGATGGAATAAATGAATCTGGTGGAAAAATAAAACATGAAACTGAGTTAGAATCTTGCAAAAAATCATTTAGAAAGTGGGTTTAAGTTAATAATTATTAAGCAGATTGACTTTTTTTCTCAAATATTTGGGCCTGAAACCATAAATGTTGACATTTTGAGACAACAGCATGAAACACTTTCACAATTGATTGGGCATTACTTTGTTTTCTTTATCCTTTACGTTGTTTTAAATTTGAATAAATGGTTTAAAATAATTAAAAAAATGATTTTAAACCAGGGTCTGCAAATCATGGGAACACTACAGTCTCTGGATCATTTTCAATTTCAGTCCCCCCCCCCCACCCCCCCCCCAAAAAAACACGATTAGGTAACTCTACAATAAGGATCCTGTTCTTAACCTTACTTACTGCATTACTGAGCGTTCATAAACAAAGGGTCCCTTTATTAACATTACACTACATAATATGGTTAAGCAATTGTTAATACTTCTTTCAATTATTTATTAATGCTTAATAATGCACTTAATATAATATTAATAACGCAACCCTGATTGTAAAGTGTAACCTAAACGGATAACAGTGAATAAACACACAGCCATTGAGCAAAAATCCAATTTACTGCAATCAGTTTTAATTAATTTCTGGAATTTTCTGTTTTAAATCTGATTATAATAATAGCGCAGCATCAGCTAAAAACATCTGTTAATAGACATAACGTGTGAGCTTTGACGAATAGTTTAAATGAAATACTTCAAAATATAAGATCCCAATCCAAAAGTGTCTGGAATATTTATTAAATGCATCACTATCTTCCTAGAACCGAGTAAATATGTAAATAGTATTTATAAATACTGTTAACCACAATAGAAACACCTGAATTCCAATCTAAATATGGACAAATATTAATTTGTTTCACTTCTGCGCCTCAGACGTTCACCTGAGTGGGACCTTCCCTTAATATCAAAGACCCCTGATGAGGGATTTAATCAGAAGCAGCTCTGAATGAGGTAAATACAATTTTTCCATTATGGACGTGAGCGCGCCTCACTCAGAGAGTATAAGTGTCAGCTTGAGCCTGAAATCACAGCAGCTCAGATTAATCAGCGTGTTAACCTCATCTCGTTGCCAGCGCTGAGGCCAATTTATGGTCACGGCACGGTAATTGATGAGATATGGCTTCACCATAAGCAGTCCCACTGCCTGTAAACTTATAATTGGAGTTTCTGTAACAATGCAGGGAGGTTAAACAAAAGATTAATTATAGTTAACAGAAGAATATTCGTCGTCGTCGTCTTCCTCCGCTTGTCTGGGTCCGGGTCGCGGGGGCAGCATCCCAACCAGGGAGCTCCAGACCGTCCTCTCCCCGGCCACCTCCACCAGCTCCTCCGGCAGGACCCCAAGGCGTTCCCGGACCAGATTGGAGATGTAACCTCTCCAACGTGTCCTGGGTCGACCGGGGGGCCTCCTGCCGGCAGGACATGCCCGAAACACCTCCCCAAGGAGGCGTCCAGGAGGCATCCTGACCAGATGCCCAAACCACCTCAACTGACTCCTTTTGATCCGGAGGAGCAGCGGTTCTACTACGAGTCCCTCCCGAATGTCCGAGCTCCTCACCCTATCTCTAAGGCTGAGCCCGGCCACCCTACGGAGGAAACTCATTTCGGCCGCTTGTATCCGCGATCTCGTTCTTTCGGTCATTACCCAAAGCTCATGACCATAGGTGAGGATTGGGACGTAGATCGACCGGTAAATCGAGAGCCTGGCTTTCTGGCTCAGCTCCCTCTTCACCACGACAGATCGGCTCAGCGTCCGCATCACTGCAGACGCCGAACCAATCCACCTGTCGATCTCCCGATCCCTCCTACCCTCACTCGTGAACAAGACCCCGAGATACTTAAACTCCTCCACTTGAGGTGGGACCTCTCCCCCGACCCGGAGTTGGCAAGCCACCCTTTTCCGGTCGAGTGTATACTTGTTCCAGAATAAAAAGCCCCCCCCCCCCACCCTGTAAAGGCATGCGGATGGTTAAGCCCTTTAATCCACCCAGTAACCATCTGAATGCGTGAGCTCCTCGGTACGGCCCTGATCCAGGCTCGGCCCAGCAGATCCGGCCCTGTGCTGACTGCTGCGTCCTGGACTGCAGTAGCAGATGTGAAATCCCATTACCCAAACGCTGCAATTAGTCTCACTCTCTATCGGGTTAATGAGTTTGTGGAAATGTGCGACCCATTTCTCATTAGGCAATTTCTCACGCACTGATGAGAGAGGGAGAGAGATGCGGTTGTTGCAGCTTAGTCGAGACGGCGTATCTGCTGTAACACCTACTGTACACCGGAAGAGGAAGAACATGTGAAGTTTTCTGCTTTTAAATGCAAGAAAAGGACGATCGCAGATGCATTATCGGGATATTTCTGCAGGAGCTGCATGCAGCCTGTGTCTTTGGTTGCTTATTCTCTTCCAGGCTGCGGAGCGTGAATTGCCAGGCTGGAGTAAAGGTCTGTCAGGACACAATAGAGGACAAGTAAAGAACCAATTAGCAATCAATTACTGACGTGTTTCTGTCCTGCACCTTTTATCTGGTTAGTTAGAGAGCAGGGCAGGCTACTGCCGCTCAGCGTGTCCCCATTCACCCCTCCCAGACACAGACCACCCGTGTGGTGCTTTGTAAATGTCGGTAACCTGGTGACGTGCGCTTTAACAGCGGAGAATGTGACCTCACTCTTCTGGGAGATCAAGGTGAAAAATCTTCAAATTAACCCAATTTAGACCATTAGAGGAAGTTTTCCCCCTCACGCCATCTCTACACCTAAGAGCATGAAAGATGGTTGTTCATTAGCCTCTTCTCAGCCAGTCAGCCTCTAAACTCCCCTCTGCTGGAACTGTTCGCTGCTGTGATGTTGGTTCAGACGGTCATGGAGATTAGGTCGGTTAAAAGCACTAAAAATGTACAACTTCATCACATTTATTAGCTCATTTCAACATGTGGGTTGTTTGTTTCACCATTTCTGTTTCTCTACTTCAGCTATACACCCCCCCCCATACACACACACACACACACACACACACACACACACACACAAAATGTGACATCTGGGGGAAAAGTGTGCCGCTAGTGCCTCTCATGATAACAAGTCTGCATCTCAACAACCTGCATCCATCATCATCAACGCTAACATCTGCTCTGAGCCTCAGCCTTAAACCTCTTTCTACTCCCCCAATCCTTTCCCTCTCTCTACCTCCCACACCTATCCTCATCCCTCCTTTCCTATCCTTCTCCTCCGTTCATATTTCCTTCACGAGAAGCATTTTTCCACCACTTTTTCTTTTCATCAGTCTGAATCCTCTCACCTGCTGAATTTGCATGGATTGTTTGTTTTCTTCTCCTTCTTCCACGCTTAAAAAATCAATATTTAATGATGATGTCATCAGGGCTCTTATGTGTAATTTAAGCAGTGTGTCAGTGCGAATGAGATTCTGTCAGCGTTGTGACGTCAGGCATTTGTTTTCTGTTAACGGGCGCTCCTGGTGGTGCACAAACCAAAACCCGGTGGACGTCTGATGGATTTGTCGGTTTCATTTCTGTTCGTGCACGCTTTCGTGGCTGCGTACAGAAGCGCGCGCACATTTGGCGTGAGAATATGTGCACAAAGTCACAAGCTTGAAAAGATTAAGAGTAAACAGCAGAAAATAAATGCAAGAAAAGCTCAACTTTGATGAGATTTTTCTTTCTAAATTCAGAAAAACCGTAAAGTGTGCAGCTGTTTGTGTGTGCGTGCGTGCGTGCGTGCACGGACGCGTCAACTGTTCTGACATTTTCCAAAGTAAAGGCAATTACTTCACCTCTTCAGCTCTGGGAGCCAACGCTGTTGAGAGGCGATGATCACGATAGTTTTCTCAGTCATTTTTCTCCCGATAACAAGCCGTTTTTAATCCAATTAGGAGCACTAACGCGAGAAGCATAATACCACGGCCCCTGGGACAGATGAGAGAATATGCAGGACATTTATCCCGACAGTCAATATTGGATTTCTCACTAAGCAGCTGTGCCTGCTCTCCCTGACATTCTCCACCTCTGCACAGCGATCCGTCCTGATTAAACCAGCTTTTCTACTTTATCAACATTCATTACACGACCTGGTCATGCATGGCTACAGCAGGAGTGGAAAAGTTACACGGCTCACTTTGGGGTTTTTCCTGCTGTGATTTTACGGTGGGGTGAAAGGTCAGAGCAGTTATACAAGCGGGCGTGTCGTGGTATTCCCCTAAACCTTCCTCTACAACATTTAAAGGGTTTTTCTTACATGCCAAACTTGACCGCATCTATTTATTAAGTTGCATTTTTTATAGTTTTGTGGTTGCATGATTAATATTGCATCTAAATGC